GTCTTATCGCAACACGCGTCGCGGCGGGTGGCAGAGGGCGTGCATTGCATGCGGGGCGGGACCTCCACACACGGGGAGGCACGCGGTGCACACATTCGCACAGCCGCAATCACATATGAAGGAAGAGGTAAGGAATCCACAAGAACACAAAGAAAAAGAAAAAAAAACGAATGAGCAAAAAATGAAAACAAAATCCGCCACGGCAAGAAAATACGTGGATGGGTGAGGATTGAGATGCAAAGGGAGAGACGGGGTCGCAGCTGCACACGTACTATAGGGAAGGGGCGAGGGGGCGGTCCATCATCGGATGCCCACATCACATTTATTGTCTCTGCGAAACACGCCGCCTCTCTGCGATTGTATCACACAAGCGGAGAGTGACGCAATGAATGAAGGAAGCGCATATCAGCACGCGGAAAGAGGCGAGGCGAGGAAAGCAAGAAAAAAAGGGGAAGAGAGGGTAAAAAGAGAAGAAAGGACAGAGAGGCGGTAGAAGGGTGCGTGTATGTGTGTTGCTTTTCACTGTTTCACCTTCCACGTGTACGCCGAGGTGCCGCGTTATGGCTCGTTAGGACACATTGCAGGATCAAAACACGACAGTCCTCCCTCCCCTCCCTGTTGTATTAGATGCCGTCTTTCGGGTTCTGTGTCTGTGTCTGTGTCTGCATGAGAGGCACCATTGCTTCTGTGCTTCTTGTTCTTTGCTCTACCGTAGTGAATCAGTGGTTGCGTCCGCGAAGACAACATGCAGCTCGCGGTGAAACAGGAGTCATACCGCATGGAGGTCCTCATGAGTCGCACTCAGTCGGAGTGCTTCAACTTGTGCTGCAAGGATCTCAGAAGCAGTGCGCTCACGATGGACGAGGTGCACTGCGTTGACCGCTGCTCCTGGCGATACCTGCAGACCAATGGCATCATTGCCAACGCTGTCGATCGGGGGTCGGATGGTGGCGGGAAACTCAAGTTTTAAAACGAAAAGGTGAGAAGAAAGAATGAAAGAGGGGAAAAATACATATGTTCTTCGACGCCTGTGTGTGTATTCTGTGCGTGGGACACGACGATGAGTTAGTTTCTCTTGTTGTGCGTTTAAATCTCTGCACACAGGGGCACACAAACTCACACACACGTGCAAAGGCGTGTGTAGCCTAACGGCTAATCACGAGGACAACCGCAGCTGGTGCGGTTGTACACATACCTCTATTTATCTATATATATATATATATATAATATGTGTATGACAAGTGAAATAATACCCTGCATACTTGGTGGTGTGGGGCGTACAGTGCAGCGTGAAGGGTTGCCTTCTCTCTGTCCCTCCTTTGAATCTGCGGATGAAAGTAACTGCCACGTAGAAACACAACCCCCCTCACGTTGACAAGCAAAGTCAGAATGCGGTCGTCACGTAACGCGCTGCTGCTGCTGCTGCTGCTGCTTGCGTCCTGTTTGTTTGTGGCAACTCCTGCGTTTGCGGAGGACGCTGCCGTGGCTGAGGAAGACGCCGCTGTTGTGCCGGAGGAGGAGGAGGACGACGCGTCCGACAGCACCGGCAGACGCCACCTGGACACCGCGCGCGTCATCTTTCCGGACAGCCCGATGGTCACGGTGCCGACGCTGCCGGCTGGCTCGAAGACGGCGGCACTCATCGCGTACCGCAACAACCAGATGGGACACACGCACACCGTCATCCTCGTCGCCGGATACCTCACCCCGCTCAACGTGTACGAGCACGTGGTGCAGAACTTCTCCATTGTGCGCCATGCCCGCCCCGTGCGGCCGGCGGAGACGACGAGCTTCCAGTATAGCTTCACCCCCGACGCGCAACTGGAGCCGAATGAGTACAACCTCATACTCGGCCTCTACTACAGCGACGATGCCACGAACAACACGTACTTCATCACTGCCTTCAACGGCACCGTGACGGTCGAAGAGGCGCTGGGGACGGATCCAAAGACGGTCCTCACGTACCTGACACTGCTCGGCCTTCTCGGCGGCGGGGCGTACCTGCTGGCGTCAAAGGTGGGGCTCGTTGCGGTCTTGAAGGCGCGGCGCCACGGCGGTTCTGCCCGGCGGCGCGTGGAGATCGGCACCAACGGCGACGGCTACGACCCCGACTACGTCAGCGAGGAGCACCACAGGTACAAGGAGGCGGTGCTACAGCGCCACGCCTCCTCCTCGCCGTCCAAGAAAAAGAAGCAGGTGTAACTGTAGGTATATGCATTGTTGTGTGCGGCAGCACGAAAGGCTTCTGGTACTGCTGCTGCTGGTGGTGCTGCTGCTTCTCCCGCCCTCTGTGTGTCTGAGTGTGTGAGTGTGCGTGGTGGAAGGAGCAAGTAGGGAAAATGAACGAAAAAAAAATGAAAGAACGGAATGAATCGGCAAGATAGTCTGAGTGGGTTAGTGTGTGCGTGTGTCAGTATGCTGAGAGTGGGAGGAATTAACAAGGAGGAGGAAGTGGGTAAGTAGGATGTACTTTCTGCAGCCACCCACGCCTTTCGCCTTGATGCCGCCAAGCTCTACCTCGCTTCGTACAAAGTGAGTGACACCGCACAAATCTTGGGCGCCCAATCAACGCAACCGTTTAATGCAAGAAAAAGAAACAAAGAAATATATATATATATATATATATTGAGAGAGTGAGGAAGGGAAAGAGAGAGGGAAGGGGGGAGGAGGGGGTCTCTCCGACATTGGAGGAGCCAAGAAGAAAGAGGTATCTTACAGCCCCTGTGCACTGTTAATAAAATGCGTGCTCGTTGAAGCGGCTGCATGCAAGAAGGAAGCAGAACGAATGCGGGAAATCAACGAAGCCGCGCACGCACGTCATCATGGCAGGTGCTGTGTGTGTATGCAGTGACTCCTGTGGCTGCTGGGCGGCATATCCGTACATTTCGGTCTTGAAAAAAGAGAAGAAAAACAACAACAACAACAACAAAAGAAGAGCAATGTGGTCGGGTACAAGACAACCACCACACAGATGCAAACACTGTGTGGCACGCGCGGAGATATGCTGCTGCTTGTGCATCAATCAATCGTTTTCTTGTTTCTCTTTCATCACGGATTTTCCTCGTTTGCCCTTCAAGGACGCACACACACACACACAGA